CAACTCTTACCCTGAAGGCATGAAGGTTGGGAATTAAGGAGCAAGTCCTTAGTGCCCTGAGAGTCCAACTGTAGGGGAGGGGACAAATGTCGGTTTCAAATAGCACGAGGGATTTTGAGGAGATGAAGCACACTCTGGGCATGTGTCAGCAGTGGACCAGTGTCTGACGCACAGGAGTCAAGCCTGTAGCAGGAGGGGCTGTGTTTGGGAGAAACCGTCCTCCCACTGTGGCAAGGCAGAGGTGCTGATCTGGGAGGTTGTGGCATCTATGTGTCCTCACCCCAAGGGCTTCTGCTAAAGATCAGAGCAGTGTGAGCAGCAAAAGACTATAACTTCCCCCTGGTGTGGACACTGAGAGGGGCAGATATGTGGGGATGAAGAACAGGCACTGTCCACCTCACCACAGGGGCACCCGCATCCTCTCAGGCGAGGGAAGTACCTATGAGAGTAGTCAGCCACTAACCTCAGCCCTGGCCAAAGTGCCATGGGAGATACCCTGTGACCTCTGACCTCTATAGCCTTCCACCCCCATAGTCACCCCACTCTGCCAAGTGGCCAGGAGCTGCAGCTCTGAGGTTAGGAAGTGCCTTTTTTCCAGCCCTAGGCAGGCTGTGGGAGGGAGGAGGAGTGCTTTCATTTTAAATGAAGTTCAGGGTCTTTACTATTCTGCTGGTCCTGGACAGGTTGCTTACTGATAGCAAGGAAAAGGGGATGATGTGTTGGTGATGGAGGACTTTTCCTTGTGTGAAAGTGAGCGGATTAGAGTAGGGGCTTGATCCGGCCAGGGACCCAGTGGGCCCACTGAGGGCACTGAAACAGAAAGGGTAGAGGGTAGGGGCATGAAATTGCCCATGATGGTAGCTGTACCTGTTCAAGGTGCAGGTCACACGGAGCAGGAAAGGAGATGGGCTCCAAACCCCAGGGCTCACAGTGGGGGTAGAGGCTCTAGGCTTAGGGTCTCAGGAATCTCAGAGAGACTAGAAATTCACACAGGTGGAGAGTGGGGCCATCAAGGAGCACCAGGTGTGAAGGCATCAAGAGAGTGGAACCAAGCACTGGGTCGGAGGGGGAGGTCAGCCAGGGTCCCAGCTCCATTTGGTGGCATGGAGGGCACTGGAGGTTTTGCAGGAACAACTTGGGGAACAGGAGTGTGATTGGAGGGGGCTGAGGATGGAGAAGGGTGAGAGCAGTTGTGAAGGAGGCTCTCAGGCATTTCCCTCTGAAGCACAAATTATGGTATATTTAGTGAATGGACCATACCTTGGTAAACTGGGTCTTAATGGTAGTCATTGATTATTTCCTAGCAATCTATTAAAAATATTGCTACCATTGGCCTATGTTGCTCACGTCATCTAGCCTGAGTACATTTAGAGTGAACATTCTCCTGGACAAAGAGTTTGTGTATCTTCCATTTTGCTGGGGCTGTGATCACACAGCACCCCCCGAGGCTGTGCTAACCTGTGTGCCTGTGCTTGTGTCCCTGTGAAGTATTCCCATGCTTCCATTTTTGGCTGTGAAAATGAAATTTCAGTAGAGGCTCGGATTTGCATTCTTGCTATGAGTAAAATTAAGATATTTTTTGTATTTTCAAGAGCCATTTGTATCCCCTTCCCTGTGAATTCTTTGTTCGTATCCTTTACTCATTTCTCCATTGGGCTTTTGATATTTTCCTAGCTGATTTACATTAAGGCATTTCTCTCCTTGACTGTGAAATGCTATTATTTTTTCTTGTGTGTAAATTTTTATGCTGTTGAGTGTATCAGTATTTTTCTTTCATGGTTTCTGGATTTTGTATCATCCTTCTACTCAAAAATAATTAAAAAATATTCTTCCCAATTTCCTTTTAGTACTTTTGTGGTTTCATTGCGAACACATTCAGTTTGTGATCCATCTAGAACTTATTCGCATATATGGGGAAAGAGAGGAGCTCAACTCATTTTTTCCCTGGGTAGCTGCCCACTCAACACACGTCACTTACTGAGTAACCACGGGCATCACAAGGCTTACTCCTTGTTTTTTTTTTCATGAAATTGATCTCATTTTGTTGTTTTTATATATTTGTTTGCTTGGTATCCCTTCCCCTACTAAATACCTACAAACTCAGAAGGGCAGAAATCATCTATCTCTTCTATTGTTTTAGTCTGTAAAGTGTGCGTATGTTTGGGGCAATAGGGTGGGCCGTGGTGAAGTTGGGATGGAAAAGGATGGTGCTACTTGATTTTAAAGAGTCCAGTTCTAAAATTCTATCTTACGTTTCAATGACACTGTTATTAACAGTGAAAGGTATAGGCCCTAATGATGAGAATTTTGGCCTGAAGAGGGGACAATGGTAAAGTCAGGAGGATAGTGAAGGTTTGCATTTGGGGCAGGGCTGGTTTCAGTTTTTTTCAGATGACTACAGAGGCTGCCAAATGTTCCATTTTCATATTAGCTGAGCTCTGAGGTCATGATTTGGCTCACAGAAATGGGGTTATACTGAACAGAATGTTAAGAAGCAATCTCTATTATTAAAAACAGGGCAAAATTAGTACCTGGAACTGAAACAGGGATTAAATGGAATTACACAAAGCTAAATAATTATTGCTAAATGAACAAATTGAAACAGTACTGCTCACCAAAAGGCACCCCACTTAAAACAGTAAGGAGGGAAATTGAAAATAGTTCCATTTAAAATTAGATTTTGGAGTTTAAGTAACTCATTTCAGGCATCTAAATATTGCAGTTATTAATAGTTATGTCACATTTCTCTTGCAAACAGAAATAGATACCATCAGCCTGGCTGAAATGAGAATCCACACACGTGTGTTGTGATAGGAACATTAGAAATGAATTTATGCCAATGATGAAGGAGAAATATTTTTCTGAAAAGCAGATTGATTTGAAAACCCCTTTGGGGATTCTAAAGCTTCACAGGGCTCTCTGGACTTTTCTTGAGTACCTGAGCTCTGAGAAATTTCTGAAACTTCTCACATTTGCAAATGTTCCCTGAAGCCCTTGTTTGCTGTTCTGTGTGAGGAGGTGTGGGGTGGGATGGCTCATTATTTGCAGTGCTTTGTAAGCACGTCTTACTGGCTATGTGTGGTTTCCACCTCCTTCCCCCAGAAGTAGTGCAGAAGGAGCAGAGGCCTGCTGCTCAGCCCTGCGTGTCTTTTTAGATAACTGATGCTTTTTAGGGCTATGTAAAGTGTGACTTAGGAGAAATTCCACCCTGTAGTATCTTTCTAGCCTGCTGTGACCATCAGTGATTTTTCTGTCTTTCTCAGCTAAATATATCACTTAATGTAATAAATTCAATGTAGAGGTTCACTGAACTACTTGTTTTTGTTTTGAGATAAGAGTCTTGCTCTATCACATGGGCTTAGTGGTGTCATCGTAGCTCATGACAACCTCAAGAGTCCCGGGCTCAAGTGATCCTTCTGTCTCAGCCTCCCCAGTAGCTGAGACTGGTGTGCACCACTACCTGTGGCTAATTTTTCCTATTTTTAATAGAGACTAAATCTTGCTGTTGCTCAGGACTCGGGCTGGTCTTGAACTCCTGAGCTCAAGAGATCCTCCTTTGCCTCCCAGAGTGCTAGGATTATAGATGTGAGCCACTGTGCCTAGTCTTGAATTGTTTTTTTTTTCTTTCTTTTTTCTTAATTAAATAGATAAAATACAGACACTGGAGCTCACATAGTTCTATGACAAGACAACTTGGCCATCAATAAGATTTACTTTTAGAAAGCACTTTGGATGATACATGATTGTTCACTTTGGTAGAACCACAGTCAGAAAAGTACTATGCAGTAAATACAAGTAAGCATCAGCATGAAAAATATTTGCTTCTCCCTCCACATTTTCTAAGTCATGATGTTTCAGAGCGCACTCTACAGTTTTCCTGGCATCTGAACTTAGAACTTCCTCACTCTCTACAAGGAATTGAATGGCAGATGGAAAGCTTGTCCTAATGGTCAAATTTGCCATGAACATATTTCCTTTGACAACATTGTACTGTGACAGTGGTTATTTTTCATCTAGGTGGCAAGAATTAATTTAAAGAAATATTCATCTTGGAGAGTTTGTAAAACATTTCTGAGGACCTATTATCTTCTTTCTTATTCACCATGTCTCCAAATCCCTGTTTATTTTTTTCTACGTCCTGCTATTTTCTCCTCCTGCACGTGGGAGCTGAGACTTCCACACGGCTCCCTTCTGGGCCCCTGATGCGGAGCCACCTCTGGCCGCCTCCAGCCTTTTCTCACATAGGCCGAGTCACAGGCTCATTTGCTTCTCAGCATCCCCTTTCCATCCCTGTGGTACTCACTGGCGCCATCGTGCTGTGCTTCCTCACCCTCCCTGAGCCCTCCTCCCCCGTGCAGCCTGTGTGTAGATCCCTGCCCCGCTGGTCCCTGGCTGCGTGCATGGTGGCTGCCCGTGGTAGTTGCCCCACCAGGGCTGCTGTGCCGCTGCCCTACACATAACCTCACTCTGGCTCCTTCGCCCTGGAGGTCCTCCCCTCTTTTCAACACCTCTGAATTTTATAATATTTATTGCAGAAGCTGGAGATGAAGTTCAGAGGACCAAACTTATTCCCTTCTAGCTCACTTCAGAAGGTTTTTTGATCTGTACTAGTGATGGATTAGGTGTGGGCATACAATGTTCTGATCACAGAAGTGAAGAGAACATTGGAAAGAGTACATTTTAGGGTGCTGATTTAAAAAAATGGAATCTTAGCCAAATGTTACATAAATGATGTGGCCCTGGTACATATAACACTACTGGCACACAACTGCCACAGCAAAGACAACTAGGTTGTCTGCCAGGCAGAGATGGCCTATTTGTGTTTTACTTAGTTTTATGTTTTAGAAGAGAAATTGGCTGATTCCTGAAATGGCAGCTGTTTATTTGCTATGCTGAGATAAACAGACAGTATTTCTCTAGTCATGCAAGTGTAGTGCCCCTGGGTTCTGTAATCCTGATCGACACATGATAAAATAGATCTCTTTTCCTGTCCTCCCAAGGGAAGCCATCAGCCGAGTCTGCGAAGCCGTACCCAATGCCAAAGGAGCCTTCAAGAAGAGAAAGGTACTGTCCTTAATGCTCTGTGCTCAGCTGGGATTCCTCCCTGACTCCCTCCTTCTCTCATGTCACCACTCACAGAGCATTGCTCATTGTCCCCTTCCTCTGGCCTGACTTGTCATTAAGCAGAAAGACCTTAGATTGCTCTTTCTCCTATGAGGCTGATGAGAGTTAACTGTCACTGTCCTGGAAGTAGATCCCCTGGTCACTCACTGTGGCTTAAACCCTGAAGAAGGTAATAACAAACTCTTAAAACAGGGCTAGAAAGTTCTCCAAGAACTTTATATCCATCAATTCACTTAATTATAACAATCCTGTATGGTAGTTATCTTCAAGGGTGTGCTGGTAAATGTTTAACATCAGCTGTCAGGGTTGGGAAAGAGAATGAGAGCTCTGAATTTGTAGAATTTGCCAATTTCTGTGGTGTAAATGCTTCCACAGTGGCTGATGGTGAGCTTTCAACATGCTGTCCCTGAAAACAGAGTCAAGAAGAGATGTTCAATAGCTCTCCTTGATGTAATATTACCACCACACAGGCCCAGTAAACACAAGTTAGCTGAAAGCAGAGTTAATAGTAACAGAGCAAAACAATGTGGAAGTGACGAGTATTGAGTATTTATTATCCAGTTTTTAAACAATTTATTTTATTGTAAGTTTATATAAATTAATTTTTAATAATTAATACTATTTAATTGGCCAGATCATAAAATTCCTAAATTTAATAATTAGATCTCATTAGCTGGCACAAGCCAGCACTAGAACTCCACTGGATATTCCTATGTTACAGGTGATGACAATAAGTTCAGAGATAAATGGCCACCATGCAGGTAGCAGGTGGCGTCAGAAACCAAGCTTGCATGGCCTAGCTTCAGAGACTGCAGGTTCAGCTGCTGTATTAGGACTCTTTATCCTAAATTAGGTGCTTGAACCAGAAGGGGAAATTCTGCACTAAGAGAAAGTGGGAAAAACTCTTTAGTTAAGTGCCCAGTAAATGCTTTGTTAAATATCCACAGTCAAGACTTTTCTGTGCCTAACCTGACTTGTAGGATAATGTGCCTTGGAGAACTTCTGAATCTGCCCTGGGGCTGAGTGGTTGTTTGGGGTGCTTGGCTGTGTTGCTCCAGGCTGCTTCTGTCTTCAGGACCCATAGAATAGCTGAGTTTCAGGCAGAGAAGTTGAATAAAGACTTAGATATGCCAGCCTGTATTCTGGTTAGTCCCTGTGGGATATTGTGGACCAAACAAAGCTCAAGAATCTTTTTTTTGAGAGAGAGAGACTCTCCCTCTGTTACCCTAGGTAGAGTGCTGTGGCATCACAGCTCATAGCAACCTCAAACTTTTGGGGCTCAAATGATTCCCTTGTCTCAGCCTCCCAAGTCCCGTTGTAGAGGGACTATAGGCAAGGGTCTTGCTCTTGCTCAGGCTGGTCTCAAACTTCTGAGCTCAAGTGATTCACCCACCGTGGCCTCTCAGAGCATTAGGATTACAGGCATGAGCCATTGTGCCTGGCATAAGCCTCCAGAATCTTGAATCCAGGAAGTAGGAAGGTGTTTGAGAATATAAAAAAATCTCGTCTTTTAGGGGCAGGTGGTGCTAACAAGCCCTGGGATACCCTCATGATTCTTCGGTGCAAGTGGTGGAAGCAATGTGGATTTCTGGGCTCCACCCAGGTGTTTCTGATCTTAATTTCATGGGCATCTCTGTTCATACATAGCTCCTTCCGGAGATTAACAACAGTGTGTCCTTAGTTAGAAACTAATTAGTGCATCAAGAAAGAGCATTCAATGATGGGCTGGTCCTGGGACAGAGAGACATGTACTGCCAGTGCCCTTCCAGGAGCCTAGGACACAAGTTCTTGGCTGGAAAACATGGTCTGTCTATCCTGTGCCAAGGACATCTCTGGCAGGGTGAGGGATACTCCAGATAGAGCTAGACTTTGGCTCCCCATCCTGAGCTGTCCTAGGCCCATCAGATTCTAATTGGAAAGTCCATGGGAGCCCTGACTAGGGAGGATGTTTGGGCCAAAGGACTTGTGGTTACCTTCAGCAACAAGAATCCTCACAACTCTTTGGGATGGCTCTAGTATATTCTAGTCCTCCCCTGAGAGATGGTTGGACTTTCAGTGTGGTGGGACCAGGTATCTGAGTCTGCAAAGCTGTAGTGGTGCTTCCCCTGGGGTTCACATACAAGGGACCCCCATGAGACAACATCTCTGACTGCCCTCTGACTGCCTGCAAGAGTCCTCATCTCAGTATTTGCATATTATATGGTTTGCAGTCTACATATTGCCTGTGCTAGAATGTGTATATTAGCCTTGAATCTCACCCTTCCAGCACATTCATTCCCTTTGTCTTCCTGTATCTGAGGGGGGGGGGCTGTCATTGAGGGTTTGAGTGTACAGCAGACATTGGTGTCCCCACCCTTTTACATAGGAATGACACAAAGTCCCAGATAGTGTCACCTCCAGTAAATAAACAGCTAAAATACTGCTATTTGATTTCACAGCCTCCAAGCAAAATGCTGTCCAGCATCTTGGGAAAGAGCAACCTCCAGTTCGCAGGGATGAGCATCTCCTTGACCATCTCCACCGCCAGCCTGAACCTGCGTACGCCCGACTCCAAACAGGTGTGTGGGTGCTCAGACCTCCCGTCCCTGCCCACAGCTCCAGACACAGGGAGTTCCACAGGTGTCCTGCTCACCGCTGTCCTGAGCTCATGTGGAATAGTTTGCATCAAGTCTTTGCTCGTCTATGAACCCTAACCACTTTGAAGGGTCATTGACAAAATGATGGGTCAAACTGGTTCTCTTTAATTTTTCTATAAATTATCCTTTAGGGGGGAGAATAATGCATAAAATCAATGGGTTTACTTGCAGTGTAAGAAAAGGTGATGTGAGTATGAAGTCGCCCCTTAATGTTCTTGCCCATGTTTTAAATATTTGTACTATATTTCATTGTTTCATCAGCCACATTTTATTTTGCCACCTTTGAAGAGGAAGGCATGTCATAGTCTCATTGACAGTATTTTTTCCCCTTACTAGCTTGTCATTTTGGAGCATCTGGCAGTACATGGTGTGATAGGCTGAGGAGGTGGCACGTGTGTGGTATAGCCCTTGTGGAAGGAATCTGGAGCCAACCTGGATGGCACGGCCACAGTGTTTATTAAGGCTAATCTGTTTGGGATGGTTGTGTTCTTGCTCAGTGTCTGCCTCTTAGGGTTCCCTCATCTGTCCATTGTTCATTTTCTCAGCTCGAAAAGTGGGTGTATAAATAGCTGTCCTGACTACTAATGAGGCAGTTCTGAAGGTCACATGAGAGCTTGGCCCAGGCTCCCCTTCTGGGGCTCAGACATGACCTCTGCATGTCTGACACTGCCTCATTCTGATTGTGTGTTACCAGGGATCACGTGGTGGCCTTTATATTGCTAAACATGTTTGTATGTATTGATTTCTTTCTGTATTACTCAGGTAAGCAAGCAGTATCCCTGAGCTTCAGTTATTCCTCCACTTCTCATCCAAGAGAGTGCAATAAATCCTAGATCCAGTGCAGACATGCAGAAGTGAGAAGCAGCTTCCAGGCTTTGTTTTGTCATAACTAGATACCACTTCTCCCTTGATTCTTCCATCCTCATGGAACCCTTTATTCTGCTCTGGAAGTTGTGGATCAGAATGCCGGGCAGGCCCAGCCTTTCTCTGGCGAGATCTCAAGCCTAGCACCTGCTGCTCCTGGCTGGGCTCTGTACACCCCTCACAGCCAGGGCGTTCTTTTGTATATGACTTGGCGACCTTTGTTTAGTCCTCAGATGCCTCAGTCCTGTGAGATCTCCTACCAGATTCCCCCTGCCCATCCTGGTAAAAGAGAAAACAAACACTTAGAGCACTGAGATGAGGTGTCAGGTCGGTTCTGCTCCAACTTCAGACACAGCGGCAGGGTGAGAGTGTCCAGAGGGTGCTTTCTGGCCTGGGGATTAGGGGGTGGGGCAGAGTGCTGGGCTTCAAGGGACTGGCGGCATGGATGGCAAGTCTTCAAGGCAAAGCACACATGGCCCTGGCTGTCTATTCTGGCCAACTTGGTCCCAACTGTAGCAAATTGAGAACAGCAGGCTGGACAGTGACTTTCCTTCTCTACCCAGAGAGACGGCAGAAAGAACACCCACTTCCCTCTTTGGAGTTGCAAGTGGAAGAAACAAGATGAAATATTCAGAGCAGAAGCACATGCTTTGGACCCCCAATTAGCTCTAACTTTGTTGCTCCCCATTTCAATTTTTATCTTACCTAAAGGAGTGACACAAATGCAATGGTCTTGATCATGTTAGCCAAATCTGACTTCTTTTTTTTCCTCTCTCAAGTCACAACTTCCAATTTAATTCCAAATCCTAGTTGTAGAGCTGCCTTATAAACACTAATTAAATAAGTAAACATTTTAAATTTGAGAGCCATAGTTTATCATTATTCAGTGAGTGCTATTTCCTCATTGTTCTCTTAGGAGCCCTCTACCTCTACCCCAGGACTCCAGAGAGCTGAGAAGGGCCACATTACTAGCTTAACTCAGCTCGGACTATGGGGCCAGCCACATTTTCTGTTGACTTATATATTCATGTTTGTCTAGATCCTGAAGTTCTGCAAGGGCCAGCAACCAAAGCAGGGATTAAAAATGATCTTATTTTCTTTCATAATTCAATCATGTTTTATTTCAAATTTCACAGGAGCGTGTTTGGACAGATTGCCGGGATGTAGGATTATGGCTGAGTAAATTCTGCCTGCCCAAGGAGAAGGGCCTGCAGGAACTGTAGAAATAAACCCAGTTAGGTTGGGAATGGAGACAAGAGCTCTATTCCCACCCCTGGAAATTTACTTCAATGTCATTACATTGTCTTTAAAAAGATAAAAATAGCATGGAAGACTTATGTGGCTTTGTAAATTTAGGGCAGCTTCTAATTTACTCAGTGTCTACTAAATTCCATTGCATGCTGCAATTTATACAGCTAATGGAAATTTCCCATTTTAAAATTAACTTGGATTGTCCCCTCTGGTTTTTAAATTGATAAATTACAAGAGTGCTGTAGATGGCACTGACTTTGAATCTTAGAGGCCAGCTTTCTAACTTACATGCAAATGATACAAACAGGATAAAATGGGGGGACAGGCAAGCTTCCCCTCATTCTAGCTGTGATGTCTGTATCAGAGACTCTGGTATGTTTTAGGGAACAGAATCTATAAGTTGAGATGTCTTGGTGTGTGGGTGAGACAGTTTACTTCCAGAAGAGGCACAGTTGTTAAGTCCCTGCCTCAATTCCAGCTCTCCTGTTTACTAGCTGTTGATACTTTGAGGCAGCATTTCAGCCCCTGCGGACTCAGGTTCCTCACCTGTAAAATGGGATTACAATAGTTCTTACATCACAGGCTGCTCTGAGGCTTAAATTAGATCATTCTGGCAAAGCAACTGGACAGCCACCATCAGGTGATGAAAGGTTAGCTACTGTTAGAACTTTGATGATTTTTATTTTCATATGGGTACCAACTCTCAGGAAAATGTGTCAGTGTATGATGCCTGCCAATAAATACTTTGCTCTCCAAAATGTGGAAAGGGTGGTAACAGCACGTCTTGTTTCTTGTCTTGGGTCTGGCAGATCATAGCGAATCATCACATGAGGTCCATCTCCTTCGCCTCTGGGGGAGACCCGGTAAGTGCCCTCGGGGTTGTTTCTTCTGCTCTTGTTGGGGATGTCTTAGAAGGGACCCCTGCCTCTAAATTACACCTCATAAGACACTACAAGGAAAGTAAATTGTGATGCCAACTGGTTTCCCCCTCCCAATTGCAAAAGATCTTGACTAACATTTTTTTTAGGGGTAACCTATGATAAGGACCTACTATTAATTTTCACTTCTTTAGCTAAAAGCTATCAGAAATCCTGGTGGCATTGGTCTTCTTCAGGGGTGACAAAACAGCTTCTGAGGTGTCAGAGGTCTCAGGGACTTTCCCCATCAACACTCTATGTTAATTTTTTTCTATTGAACCTCCATTTTAAAATTTAAGTCTACTCAAAGTCTGTGAATTTACCTAGTCTGGTTTATTCATAAACATTTAAAATTGACATTTTTCTCTCATGTTAACACTGTAGCCCTTTAACGATTCGCTTTGCCAAAAAGAAAGGAATTGCAGAGAGAGAGAGAGAGGGAGGGAGAATGGAGAACAGAATGAGAAATGTTCTATTTTTGCCTTGCTTCTTAAATAAAGAAGGTGGACTAACAAGGGAATGTACTCCCATATTTGGGCAGGAATGCCACAATATGATGTCAGCATTTCAGTATTAGTGCGGCCATCTCTAAACTGTACTATCACGAAGAAGACTGCAGAAAACCACCTCCAGCTCCCAGGATCACGCCCTACCTGCCTGCTCACTGCTGATGGTCCAGCCTTTTAAAGAAACCAGGCAGGAAATCAGGGACACAGAATAGGGAAGAATGCAAAGTCAGCCCTTTCCAGGGGTGAAGTGGCTCACCCTCCGGAATGCTCTTGTGTTAATGTTCATTGGTCTGGGCAAAGCTCTCACCAGTCCAGGAGAAAATGTTAAAATTAGAATGATAGAGTGAGCTTTCCTTGGAGCTAAACTTACGCAGCTGAAAAAAAGATCTTAATTCCGGATTTTTTTTGTTGGTGTTAAATAGCCTTTTTGTAGTAAAATAATGTCTTCTAGGTAGTGTTTTTGTTATTATTTTCATTTTGTGTTATTTGGTCAAATTCTGAGTAAGCAACCTTCAGATTTTACTTAAAAGCTTACTGGTCCAAGGTTGCCTGAGTAATCAGCATGTTTTAGTAATTTTGTCTCAAGGCCAGAGATCCTGTCTAGTTCCAACCCAGGAATGGCATTTTCTCAATGTCCTTCTTACCTTTCCTCCCATGTTCTACCTGGGCAGGCACCAGGGGCTGACATTGTGGCCACTATGGGCATTGGGCAGTGTTCCTGCCAGAACTGGCACAGGCTGCCACAAGAGCCCTAGGCCCCACTGCTTTCTCGCGAGCCCTCTTCAGACCCTTGAGCCAAGGCACTTGGCAGGGGAAAGGGATTTGCCCCCTACAGGTGGTTCTTTGCCCTTATATGCTAAAGTGCCAAAGAATGACTAGAAATCATTGATTCTATAAGCTCAAATGGCTTAGAATCTAGGTGTGTCCAACCTGCAGCCCACGGGCCATATGCAGATTATTTACATACTATTTTGTTTATCTATGGTGTCCGATATCATAAGTGTGCATGGACCTTTCCTTTTGCTCACCAGCTTTCCATTAGTGTTTATGTACTTAATGTGTGGCCCTAGACAACTCTTATTCTTCCAATGTGCTGCAGAAAAGCAAAAAGGGTAGACACACCCTGGAGACCCTTTTTCATACTTAGGGTCTTCATGTCAAAAGTCTACCACAAGGATTGTCCTTTTTTTCCCCTTCCCTTTTCTTGCTTTCTAATCCTTATAATTTCTTATGTTTCATTATAACATGAACAACCTCACTGAGAACTATATTTAGCAAGTGGAAATCTTCCCTAGTCAAACTCATCCAAAGCACATTCTAAGATCCTGTCCATATATATATGTCTACCTATTCTTGACCTCTGCTGCCCTATACACATATCTACACCTTTCTCTATACCTATGTCTAATGAATTTGCAGTGGTTATCTGATTGCTTGCCCACTGTGATACTCGGAATCATAGTTTCCTAAATTTGGGAGGTAACCCAGTTTGAAAGTAAAAGGTAGATGTCTTGTACACCTGCATTAATAGCTCCTTGCAGGAACATTTCTGAAACCTTTTCTCAATGACGATATTATGAGTTGGTGATACAGATATCTAGATTATGGGAAGCCAAATACATTGGTTTATGCTAAAACTATTTTATTCCCCAGGATGTACACAGAACTATACAATTTTTCTTCAAATTTCCTCATCACCTCTTCATTTTTTAAAAAAACTGAAACATTCAATAATCCTTAAGTTAATATATAATCTTTTATCTGTGATTGTTTTTTTCTGATACAGAAAATATCAAAGCAGGGGACCAGAGGCCTAGTGACTTTCCATTTTAACCAATCCCAATGCATTTTACATTGTGCATGAAATCCTATTCCAAACTGATCTGTATATGACTTTAGCATATTATAATTGGTACATGTTTTTAATAAAATGTACAATTCTAGGTTCTAGCCCTTGTTCTCTTGCTGAGTATATGTGCCATTATTGCTTTTACCCAATAAGAAAATGGTATTTTGAAATGTTAAATAAGACAGACTAAAAAACATTACGCATTCCCCTCTAAAAAAGAACATACTGTAATTTCCATCTACTGTTATTATTATAAGGCTACCAAAAAATACCAGAACAATGCCCAGGCTCAGAGGGTCTTGGGGAGTGAGACCAGGGATGAAACAAGTATTGAACGAGCCCCTTCCAGCCCCGTCTTTGAAATGCTGTGTGCTCACCATATAACTGGGTGATGACAATAATGCTGTCTTCAACAATAATACACTCACCTATTGTGTCAGAGAAGGGTCAATGTCACATCAGAAAAGTGATGTCCTGGCTTGGCCATTAACCATCTATGAGTCAAGGACATATTATGTCCCTTCTTCCTCAACTTTGAGCCATAAGAGAGTTTCTCAGATCAAAGTAAAAATTAAAAAAAAATTATTCTTGTATACACAACTAAGGCTGATTCTAATTTTTTTAGCTGAATATGTATAAAAACAAATTAAGAATAGACTCCTTATGTTTATACTTTTTATTGAATTCTAAACCCCAATCGAATGTGAAAGTTAAATACAAATAAATACTGGAAAGCCAATAACATTTAAAGTAACACTAATTTATTGTGATGGACAAAGATTGCTAAATCTAAATCTCTGTTCTCGGTGTGATACTAGATTGGCCACACAGTTCAGGGACTTTTGAGTTTGGTATCTGTTACCATGGGCACCCCCCACACTTGATTCTTTCACGAAATTCTTCCATGTATAAAACTTCAGTTGTACATCATGCACAAATGTGACATCAGGCTGCTTCAAGTGAGCAAAGTCTACTCTGATTGTTCTTTCTAATTCTTTAAAAAGCTGGCGCCCATAATGCTGAATACCAACTGCGCATCTTGGCACTGAAAGATAACACAGTGGTCATCTAAATGATTCTGGATATTCTTGCATTAACTTTTAATATAATAATGGAGATGAAACACAAAATTAAAAATAAACTCCAGTGCCTCGTTAAACTGGAGTGGGTTGCTCCAACATTCACATCCCATGAATTCAGGAAGAGTGTCTATGATTACAAGCTGCAGTCCTTGTTTTTGCCAATAGCTTCAGATTCTAATCAGATCTCTCTTGTAGAAAATGACCAGAAGATAATTTGATCAGTTTGACAATCTTCCACATCCCTTTCCTAGTCAGTCTGCTCATGTACCAATGGACGCTGCCCTGAGTGGGGGAAAAAAAAAAGCTTAGATAAGCCACTCCCTGGAGATGACCCAGGGTATCAGTGCCATTATCTCAAGAGCTCTTCTGCTCCACCATGGTCTTATTGGGGTTGTATAAGATCCAGGGGAATTAAGTTTGCCAAAGTGCTCAGCACCACCCATCACCTTCAGTGACACACCCATCCCATACTGGCTCTCTCCCTCATCCTGTCTCTCACTGGAGTGTTTTTCTGGGGTGCTGCTGAGAGAGAAGGGGATGGCTCCTCTGCCCACAGAGAAAATATGGAGCAACTCTCAACAGAACGCTTTCAGTGCTGACAACCTTGGGAGTCATCAGCATTCTGGAAGGCCTTTGGAGCAATAACATTTGGGAAATCCCTGCAAAAATGAGGAAAACCTTTACCAGTTGCCCCATAGATACTTGTTTGAATGCTGAAAATATCACCTTTGCAGAGGAGTCTTTTCTGCTTTCAAGAGTTAAGAGAATTATTTCTTTAGAAACTCAATGCTTATTTATTTATTAGAAACTAAAATGCACGTGGTTGCCCTGGCCTACTTTGAGGTCACAGTCTCCTCCATGCACTGGTGAAATAACAAGGCAGGCAAGGAAACTCATTTCACATAAAAGGGTGAGACTTCTAAATAGAGCTCATATTTTTAAACATCTTAAAGAACAAAAATAATTATTTAGGTCCAAGAAGAAAAGAATGATCATATTTCATCTTCTCAGGGAGCATTTGAAACCAATCTTTGAACATCCATCCTGCTTTGCTTCTAAACCAGTGGTTCTCAAAGTGTGTTCCCCAGACCACTAGAAGCTGGAAACTTGTCAGAAATGCTAATTTTGAGGCAGTTCCTCAGAACCACTACAGAATTAGAAACTCTGGGGTATGCCCAGCAATCTGTTTTAACATGCCTTGCAGGAGATTCTCACACCAGCTCAAATCTGAGGACCACTAGTATAGACAGGGACGAGAGTTGGTTCTCCACGTTGGTTCATGTGACAGTCACTCAGGGAGCTTTTAAAAATATCTGGTGCCCAGACCTCATATTCAAAACAGTTAAATAAGATTATCTGCACACTGGGACTCAGGTATGAGTGTTTTTGAAGTTTCTCAGGTGATCCAACGTGCACGAGAACAGGTGCTTTTCATGCATGCTGCTCAGAGTGTGGATAGGGACTGGCAGGTCTGTGTCCCCGCAGAGCCTCGGGTCTGCTCCAGACCTGCTGAGTCGGAATCTGCATCACAAGACCTCTGGGTGATTCTTGCCCATGTTACAGTTCGAGTCTTCCATGGGCTGTTACTTAGGCAACATTTGATTATTTGGCTATGTGAAGGTTGGGTCCTTATGAGCTTGCTGGTTTGTGTGCTGTATCCCTGGCTGTGCTGTCTCTCATATATGAATAGTAATACAGATGTCTCCTTTCTCTTTAATAGGACACAACAGACTATGTTGCATATGTAGCTAAGGACCCTGTTAATCGCAGAGGTAAGCAATGCTTGACCCTTATAATCTCTCATTTGTGCACATCTGGGCTTAAAAGGGTATACCAGATGTTCCTCGTGATTTCAGCAGCTTCACCACTACGAGCAGCATCATACTGTATTATGCTAAGGCTGCATGGCTAGCAGATTGCCTGGTGATTCAGGAGGTGCTTGATGTCTCTGAGCAGCAAACACACCTGTATCTAGATGGCTACAGTTTAGTACCCATGAGCAGTGACTGTCCACCCTCTGGAAGTGGAAGACTACCAGGTGCCCGTCCTCTGCCCTGGTGCAGCTCCAGCTGAGCCACCTGGGCAGCCTCACCTGGCCCAGCCCAGCCCTAGAGACCAGTGTCTGCACTCAGGGTGCTGTCTGCATATAGCCCTTTAAGCTTCTAAGGCCCAGCTTCTAGGCTGGATGGGGAATCATTTACAAAACCACAGCCCATTGGATGTTACTACAGCCAGGAGGCTGCCAACCAAGGTGAATGGCCCTTGAGTCACAGGCAGCCACCAAAGGGCCACCCCTACAGCTGCAATTTGAAACTGACAATAAAAGCCACAAATGGGATTTATGAGAATAGGAAGCAGCACTGCCTTCCATTACAGGTGGGTTCCCCTCCTCCCACCTCCCACCTCAGCCACCAACTGTTAAGATTTTCTAGTTTGTTTTGCATAATTTTTAATACACATACATACACACAGATTCTCATCTTTATAAATTTCAGTACAAATGAGATCTTCACATTCTGTTTTGCTCTCCCCTGCCCCCAAATGCTGTCTCTTGGACATATTTTCAAGATGGCTGATATAGAACAGATGAACTGATGCATGGTTTGGCTCTGTGGGATGTGGCCCCATGGAGATCCACCCCGGGACCCCCAGACAGACTTTTTCATGGTTTTACTGCATTGACAGAACAACAGGTTCAGATAATGTGTTGATAGGCCTAGCAAACTGCCCCCCATCCTGTGAAAAGTTGCATTCCCACTTGAGTGTGTGAGGGTTATTTTCCACTGTACCTTCACCAGCCCTGAGTTAATGGGCAGTGATGGGAGCTGTCCTTCCTTTCCATGGTTTCTTGAGGTTGAAGATAATATCACACAAAGAATTTGAGCTTTTGTTCTTCCCCAGCTGAGCTTGTTTCACCATAAGCTATCATGTGGGGGGTAGAAAGGGGTTCTACAGATGAGGGGCTCAAATGTAGACAACTTCCTATTTTATAATGGTCACATCGTCACTCCTGAACAGGGGTGTGGTCATTAGAAAGTTCTGAAAAGAGGAGTGTGGGTGGTCTTGCTGGGCCCAGGACCAGCCCTGAGACCCCCTCCTAGCAAAACACACTCCAGCTGGCCACTTCTGGAACAGGAAGCAGCTTTTACATAGTGACTGTGGCCAGCCCCACTTAGGCAGGCGGGGTCACAGCCAGCAATGGTCAAAGCTGTTGTGTCCAGCCCAGCTGAGCAAAAGCCCCTGTTCTGCCCATTTAGAGGCTGTATTGTTAGTGTCCTATGGCTCCTCTAAAAAAATAGCCCAAATTGGGTTGCTTAAAACAACAGATATGTTTTCTCGCAGTTCAGGAGTTTGGAGGTCCAACATCAAGGTGTCCACAAGGCCACTGCCTGTGAAACCGAGAGGAAGCCCGTCCTTCTTCTTCCAACTTCTGATGGCTGCTAGTGATCATCAGCGTTCTTAGGCTTTTGTGCAGTACAGGCATCACTCATCACTTGCCCCTTTGCCATCACACAGTGTTCTCCCTGTCTGTCTTCACATGAGTGTCTTTTTGTGAGGGTGCCAGTTGTCTTAGGTTAAGGCCCACTTGAATCCAGTGTGACCCATCTTTAACTAGTCACATTTGCAATGACCCTATTTCCAAATAAGGTCACATTCTGAGGTCCTGGGGGTTAAGACCTCAACTTGGGAAGGACATGATCCAACCCCTAACAGAGGCCACCCCTTCTCTACCCCAGGGGCCTGCCAAGTTGGTGGGGGCATAGCAGAGTAGTCGGGGTGCGCCTTTTGAGGAAGAGGGTTCCCAGTCAGAGTCATCAGCTCCTGAAGTTCTTTCTCTATTTGTGTTTCAAATTAACTTCAAGTAATCTTAGATTTTTTTCTTTTTGACATATTTACTAGCTCCTTAGATCAGTAGTTCTCAAAATGAGCTACAATTCCAAATCACCCAGGGGAGCTTTTAAAAATCTCAATGCTTAGCTCTCAGAGAGGGACCTAGGAACACTAGGAACAATCTTTTTTTTTATTATTGTATTATCAATGTTTATTGAATAATAATGGACATATTAGTAGGTACTGACATTGAAGATAATACTTTCTGTTTGTTTGTTTAATGGTTACTATTCACAAAGAGACAATAAGATTTTAACATAGTTGCACTTGATATATGTATCTTAAATGCTATTACTGATCATATATGGAAATGTCAATGTATTTCCTGCATTCTTAAAAACAGCCTAGCAGACGTTTTACATTTGGATTATTTGGCTTATGTTAAGACATCCAGGGGTTGGAGGATGTTTTTATTTACCTCAAATTATTGTACATTTTCAGTTTCTCAGGATTGAAAGATATTTTTCAGAAATACAAGTCACAGGGATCAATGGATTTCTTTTTAAAAAAATTATTATTATTTTTTATTATTTGGGATTCATTGAGGGTATGAAGAATTAGGTTACACTGATTACATTTGTTAGACAAAGTGCCTCTTATAGTTGTATCCCAACCCCAAGAGGTGTGTCATACACTGTGACCCCACCCACCCCAGGTGATTCCAGTGCACAGCCAAGTCTGAGAAACTGGCTTAGGTGTAGATCCATAAGGAGTGTAGTCCTGATCATTGGACATAGGACCCTGTAAGTACACAGGCTTTTGTTTTGTTTCTTGGGGGCAAATCCAGAGTGCCATCTGTCCGCAGCATCTTTCTTCCGGCCACTGGGCCAGGTGCCCCTGAGGTTTGCGTGCCGTGCTATTGTGAAGATAATGGGCAGACCTGTTCTGCAGAAAAAGGCCTGCACTGTTTTTGGTGATTGAGGGAACCATCAACACAGGCTCTGAGTATTTGGTCCTGTTATGGACTGAATATTTGGTCCCCCCAAACTTATATGTTAAACTCTAAACCCCCAATATGATGGTATCATATTAATTAAAGGCTCCAATTAAGGATGGAGTCTTTGGGAGGTAATTAGATCATGAGGGTGGAGCCCTCAGGAATGAATGGATCTGGTGTCCTTATAAAAAAAGGCCTCAGAGAGCCTTCTCCCTCACTCCCCACCATGTGAGGACACAGCAAGAAAGTGGCATCTGCAAACTAGGAAGAGGGCCCTCGACAGACATGAAATCTGCTAGCACCTTGAACTTAGACTCCAGCCTTCAGAACTGTGAGGAACAAATGCATGTTGTTTAAGTCACACCGTCTATGGTGCCATATACAGTAGCCTCAGACTGAGACAGGCCCTTTCTTTGCTCAAGAGAGTCAGTGGGAGACAGTCACTCTTTCCTTTCTCTTATCTATTGCCTGTCACAAACTACTCCAAGGTTAGTAGCGTCACAGTAAATATTATTATATTTTATGTTCTGATAAGGGTCGGGAGATCAGGCATGGCTTGGTTGGTCAATTCATCTGTCCACACGGAATCAATGGGGTCACTAGGTGGTGGTCTTTGACTGGAGGTTGGGCTAGTTGAGAAGGTCCAAGTTGGCTTCACTTCCACTCGTGGCCTCGGCAGGATGGTCAGAGTCTATTTCAGCAAGATCCTTCACCCTCTCCTTGGAGCCTCAGGGCCACTCTGAGTGGTCCCTCCATCTATCCAGGGCAGCAGGGTTTCCTCCATGGCAGCTCTGGGCTTCGCGAGACCCAAGGTGGCAGCTTCCAGAGCTCTTAAAGGCCAGTGCAGTTTCACTTCCATTGTAACCTACCAGCCAAAGCAGTCAGAGCCAGCTCAGGTTCCAGAGCATGGGAATCAGACCCAGACTTCCAGGGAAGAGTGCCAAGGAATTTGCAGCCATCTTTATCTGTTGCATCTCTATTCTTCACATACAGGGAGGCCCCGCCTTCTGGTGGACAGCGTGGGCAGGGCATGGTCTAACTGCTGCCCCTTGCCACTCAGCTGTGAGCAAGCTCTGCCTCCATCTCATAAGCACCCTACCAGGGTTCTCTTCTGCCAGGAAGGGAAAGGCTTTCTCCCTGCTGCTCTGATCTCCTTCCTCCTCCCCTAGGCCAAGTGCAGGGTTTAATTTAATAGGAATGGTCCCTCTGCCATTGTGGGGTCAGAATAGGCAGAATTCAGGGCTTGCATGTTCTTATAGATCCAAGTCCCCTTACAGAGCTCTGAGGTCTGTCTGTGTGAGTGTGCTTTGTATCACAGGGCTGTGGGCTCAGCTCCTCAGGACCAACAGGGTCAGGACATGTCTGGGTCCCAGAAAGTCTTCTGTAAAAATTTCACAGTTGTGGGGTGGCGCCTGTGGCTCAAAGGAGTAGGACGCCAGTCCCATATACTGGAGGTGGTGGCTTCAAACCTGGCCCTGGCCAAAAACTGCCAAAAAAAGAAAAAGAAAAAGAAAAAGACAAAACTTCACAGCTGTGGGTTAAAGTCCCTCAATATTATTATCGTTTGTCTTTTTACACCTTGATACCTGGTTAAACCCCTTTATTTGAGTTTTTGGTTAATCTAAAAGAAATTCTAATAAGAACCTATTCATTCTCTCATCATTCTGAAAGCCAGGAGTTTGTCCTTTAGTATGTATGTTATTGACTGTGTAGATATATTTAGAAATCATCAATAATGCTGATATATATCTTGACAGTCTACCACAAAAATTGCTGCTATCCTTGTATATTATGTTTTTGTAATTAAAAAAATGAAATAAAATACACAGAGCGTAACATATACAGTGCCAATAAGAAAAAAAATAAGAATCTATATTTGTTTCTCTGGTATCAAGAATTCACGGCTTCTATAATTAATCTAATGGAAGGGTGAAAGGTCTCGGG